CCACAGGGCAGGGAGAAGCGCACTGCAACGGGCACTTGAGATTCCTTTCACAGAAGAAATAGCTCTCAGGAAAATAAAGCAGCAGCGGACATGAGCTGCACTGAGGCATTCTGGGGAAAGAAAGGAAACCGAAACCAAGGCCAGACAGTCGACAATTGTTCAGACAGTTCAGCTCATTGCTCTCTCTCTCTTTCTCAGTTTGTCCTTACAACTGCCTGATACTTTATTTAATTGTCACAGCTTTAATTAAATAGCTCCTTAACTTCACCAAACAGGTTTTTTGTCATTCAAAATATCTTCATCTACTGAAAAGACAAAACAAAGGTTCAGCTCCATTTTCTGACATTTTAAACAGCTGAAGTGACTGACACAATCCAAAGGCACGACGTGTTTGCTGTTTGTCTGAACAGGTCAACACGTGATAAGTGAGCTGGTCCCACAACTCTCTCCAAATCAGTGTTTAACACAGCTCTAGAGCAGGACAATAGAAATATTTATAATAATATTTATAATAATATTTACCACAATAACAATAAAGTCTAGCAAAAAAACTGAAAACTGCTAATAAACACATTTTGTTTATTTACAGATTCATAGTGTTGGTGATTCAATAAATTTGGTTTATTGCTAAGCTTTTTTTTTTTTACACAGCACTGAACAAAGGTGCCTTTAAAAATGTGTCTCCTTGATCTACAGTACTAAGGAATTAGTCTGTGCTGTGGATAGTAAGGTGCCCTGGTGGCCTAGGGGCTGACCATGAACCACCCGCTGATGTATGACAAACAACAAAATAATAAAGATATAAAATATAAAAAAATCAAATATGCGTAGTGGATATTGGGTCCAAATTCTAAACCTTTCTGCAATAAATGTGTAAATGTTTTAAATCTTTAAATGAGTTGTTTCAAATACTCTTTAAAAAATACAAATTTCAATTAAAACAAATAAATTCAGTGTCACACACATATGCTGGGATGGGGAAGTCCAGCTCTTCTTGATTCACCATTTCACTACTGACAATATTTTATGTTTTGTAAATCATTACACGGTGCTGTGTCAGTCACATCTCACTGTCACACGTTTCTGTGTCGCACTGTGCTCAAGGCAGTCCAAACTCTAGCTTCCATTTAGTAAAAATATTCTTCAATAATTGAATTTTGGTGACATTTCTCTCAGAAGATATTTCACGTTTTGTTGCAGATTTACTCAAAATGCATAGACCAATAAAAATGCTAATCAGTGCTGCTTATTTACACTTTTTATCTCTGTTTTCGGCTACATTCTTAATAGGTGTTTGGCTGTAACCACTTAAGTGTCATCTCTCCACTAGTGCATCAGTGATGATAAATAAGTGAATCCCCCTAAAATCTTTTAAACGGCTTCTTCCTTTTGTAATCATCTTTTAACGCTGCTTTCATTTCGCATTAGTGCTTCCCTAGCAGCTGGGATGAAATGGTTTGGGGTGTATCCGTTTCATAGTGGAAATCTGAACCTTACCATGGAGGGAAAAATGCTGTACGGGGTCATAGTCAGAAAAACAGGCAGGCAGAAAAACAAACAATACAATTAAAATTATAACATTATTTGTAGTGCACATACAAAAAAAGATGGAATATTAGCTGTAATAATCTATAAGACTTCAAAATAGAAAAATATATAATTGTTATTAAATATAGGTATTAATATTCCTGTGGTTTTTAAGGAAGAGTCTGACAGTTTGGGAAATACATGCTACAGCTACAGTTAGCTTAGCTTAGACACGGAGGGAAACAGCTTAGCTCCATCCGAAGCTCATTCACACACAAAGGCTGTTACAGTTGTTTTATTTGAAGTATGTCATTGTTTTAGTTTATCTGAGTATAAAACACTTGTGTACTAATAGGACACAGAAGCAAAGACAAACAAAAATTAACAAGCAGCAAAAGAAGCACAAGCAAATAATACAATCTTTACACCAATGTTAAATAAATAAAACTTCAAGCTTCCAAGATGTTTCTACATGTAGTAGTTTTTGCTTCAAATTATTCGTTGTACAATAAAATAGAGCAGACAGGGGGGGTCAGAGCTAAAGCCAACACGTAAAATAAGTCTTCTATCTACAGTACAAGTCATTACCAGAGAAGTGGCAGCAAAGCATGCCTGCTAATTACTCTGCAGGTCTTAATGTTTGCTCTGGTTTCTGACTCATGAGCAGAGCCATAGATGTTGGCCAATACCGACCTGATGCAGGCAAAAATCATAGGAGTAATGCACCTGAATTTTGTTTCTGTGTTTATTGTTGTCCTTTTAAGCTGACAGCGTGATCCAAAAGCTGCTCATTTGTAGGGCTGGGTATCAAAATGTAATACCTTTCTGGTCTGGAACATTCAACAGTAATTGTCCAATTATAGCTTAACAGCATTAGCCTTATCAGAATCAAACACATAAGAGCAAAAGCATAAGAAACTGATTAAACAGAAGGTGTTTATCAGCTCTAAAGTAAGATGCAATTATTAGCATGCCCAGCTAACTACAGCTTACTACCTACAGTGATAAGCTATCATTACTTCCAAGACCAAGGAGTACATCATTATTACAACTAAGCTACGCTGTGGGGTTTCAGGACCAGTGCTGCATTTACCAAACATACTATAGTTCATCCCATAACAATTTTCTCTGAACATTTAAAGTGAAAACATACTGTTTGAATATAAAAATGAGTATGTCCCAACAGGGTTGTGTTAGAATGAGGTGATTTTTTTTTTTTTGGACTATCTCGACAAAGTCAGCCTGCGATTTTAACCAAGTCATGGAGCTAACATTAACTTCATTAGCTAGTTGGTTACAACTGAACAAATCCAGTAGCCAGAGTTTCCACAGCAAACAGCAAAGTCAGTCACTAGCTGAAAATGAGAAGCCTAATTTTGTAGGCTGAAATTTTGTCTGTCTGAAATCAAAGCTCCGTGAAACCGACGCCATTCAAAATTTCTGCTTGATGTGTTCAGATTAAGTACAGAAGCAGTGACTTTAGCTAGAACTTTGAAAAAATCTCTTTAGGCACTGGTGAGTCTCATGGATCCAAATTTTATACAATATTTAGGAAAAGTTGTTGGAGCTAATTTAGTTTAGACAAAAATTAACATTTAAGTTTTATTACATTTTTTAAAAAAGGCATTTATAAAAGAATTTAGATTTGTCAAAGCAAGGTACTGAGAACAGTATTGTCATTGTATCGGTATCAAGATTCAAATAACTTGTTAACTTTGGTGCCTCACTTGATTTGATTTGATTTGATTTGATTTATTCTTTCAAGCATGTAAAACAGTTGATATGACAACACACATAATTTTACACATAATCTAATATCAATTTGCTTATACCTAGTACATGCTTGAATGGAGTAGGAAGAAGTCAGACTTATCCAGTCCTACCCCATGACATCATCTTACCATCATTGGTTTGCAAGCAGTAAATGATTCACTTCTACGCACACACATATTATACTAAAAAAAGAATATAACTTAGTGAAACAAAACAAGAATGTATACAGATAAATATAGTGTGTACTTCTGAAAATGGTGCCCCCATACCAACATTTGATTTGATTTATTCTTTCAAGCATGTAAAGACAGTTGATATGTCAACACACATAATTTTACACATATCCAACAAATGCTAATCCAATATCAATTTGCTTATACCTAGTACATGCTTGAATGGAGTAGGAAGAAGTCAGACTTATCCAGTCCTACCCCCTGACATCATCTTACCATCATTGGTTTGCAAGCAGTGTCTCTACATAGATAATTTTGTTCTACACCACACAAGTAATATATTAAAGAATTATTACAGAGTATTAACATTCATACACCACACCCACAATGTTCCATCTAATTAATCATTAAGCCTGTTCTTGCTTATATCTTGATTGACACATACCTTTATATTTATGTTTAAACTTGTCAATTCTATTACTATTTTTTATGTCCGCGCTTAAATTATTCCATAGTTTTACCCCACTTATGGAAATACACAATCTTTAGCTCCCCCAATTTTCAATTGAAGTTCATTGTCTAGTCTGCGATTCCCAAATACCATAAATTTAGTTTTATCCAAATTCAGAGATAGTATATTACTATCACACCATTTCTTTATCTTCTCAAGTTCCTGTGAAACCCGTCCAGAGAGTTGCTGTAGGTTTTCACCCGATGCCCATATGGTAGTGTCATCAGCAAACAAAACCACTTTCACTAAATCAGAAACCTTACATATATCATTAATGTATAATATAAATAATTTAGGTCCCAAAACAGAACCCTGAGGCACTCCACATACAATGTCCAGCTCACTCGATTGGTATTCACCCAACTTCACAAATTGACGCCTCTGTGTCAAGTAACTTCTAATCCAATTCAAAACCATTCCTCTGATCCCATATTTTTCTAACTTATCCATTAATAATTCATGATTGATTGTGTCAAATGCTTTTTTTAGGTCAATAAATATTCCCATTGTGTATTTCTTCTCATCCATAGCACTTGTTATTGCACTTGGGCTTCAAGTTTGCAGGTGAGTCCTCAAATTTGTTATTGTACTTGAGTAGGCATGTGCTTTTTTTTGCAGAGTCGGCAAACAGTTTACCTTGACACCGCTCTGGTGTCATTATTGTCCAATCAGCACAATTTTCCTCGCCATTATCCTGCGTTTTGCCTTTGCAAACATAATGTTACTAGCTTACCTTACAGAGAGGTCAACAGGACATGTAACTGGTCAAGCTGTTAGTGAACTTTAGGAACGTCCTCTGTTGGAACACAAGGCAAATTACACCAAACAGCCTCTTGCCCTTTCTGACACAGTGTACATTGTTGGATTTGAACAGATCAATACAGCTCAAATTGTTGTTTTTTTTACCACGTTCGAACGAATGTTTAAAATTCAAATAAAAAGCAACAGTCCTAGGTTCCAAATGTATTCGGTTTACTACCAGAAAACACTGAGGAAACCAGAAAATGTACACTTGAAAGACTGTGACCAAGGAATTTTGGCATTTTTATATTACTAAAAATGATTATTCAATTATCAGAATAGTTGCAAATTCATTCAGTTAACCATTGCAACTCTAATACTGTCAGTAGTATCAAAACATACCCAGCCCTTGTGATTTGAGGCAAACCTAGTAACACCGCATCAAAACAGGCCTGCATGGGGATATCCACCACTGGAGTGGAGATGCCCAGGTAAAGGACAGGAGTGAGATAAAAAAAAGAAAGTGACCCCTTCTCCACAAAGCAAACTCAATAACAGCTGCGAAGATTAATTCTTGGTTAACACATCCTGACGGATGAAAGAGGGGCCCCAACGACAACAGGACAACAGGTCAGATCACTACTCTGCAGCTGGTGGAGGCATGAGAAGCAACAGATAGCACAGAGAGAGTGAGCACAGCAAAGAATGTGGATTGTCTGAGTCAGAAAACTTCCTGATTCCACAGAGTCAACAAGGGCAGAAACAAGTTCAAAAACCAAGAAGGTCACAAAAGACAAAAATGCCAGGTAGAATTCCAGCAAGAAGCTCCACCTGAGCCCCTCCCTTTACCATAGACACACCCTTCCCTCATCCTCCACACACACACACACAGCTTCCCATGCTCTCAGGCTGTGTGGGGTCCTGCCTCCTCCTGCGCAGCCCTGTAAGCCCTGCCCCCAGCGCCTGACCCAGTCACCAGCATCCCCTGCTAACCTCTGTCCCCTCTTTCCCCATTCAGCAAACATCATACATCACTGTCACCCTCCTCCTCGTCCCTGCATTCATCCCGCCATCCGCTTAGCGAAGACCCCTCGTGGGTGACTAAGGACCCAAACAGCTTGCACACACCCATCCCTGTCCATGTGCCCTTCGATTCATGGTGTGCACGTGTACAGAGACTCGAGCCACAGAACTGACTGTAAATCTGTCAGGAGAGGGTTGTTTTGGAAGGAGATGAGGGCTCCATGCTGCCACATCCCTCCACTTGGGCAACAGACAAGATAGTTCAGCCACACAGCTGAAACAGTCGATTAAACAGACAGACAGAAAGTTAACCACCAACTATTTTAATAACTGATTCATTTGTTAACAAGCAGCAGCTGGTTAAATCCTCTAAGTTGACAAAAAAGAACACAGACTATCTGCTTTCAAATGATTTAAGAACATGTCACTGCAATAATACTGTAATTATCTATCTCTCTCTCTATCTATGGTTCATGTAATTAAAAAGGGACCAAGCTGAACCACTTTACTTTGGGTATGTCATTGTTATTGTGCACAAAGAAGAGGGTGTTTGTTAATACTGTATTAATCAAAAACTTGTCTCCTATTTATATGTGGATTTTAGATTTGGGTTTTAGACTGCTGGCCAGACAAAACTAGTGGATTCTGGAAAACTGAAATGGACACTTTCATGTTTTCTTTTACATTTTCTAGGTGAAAAACAATGACAGAATAATAAACCGTGAAAATAACCATTAGGCAACAAAGCAGATCAAGTTAAATTTATATGGTGATCATAGTATAATAAAGTCACCGATCCACACTGACATAAATCAGCAGCAGTACTTTCCTTCAACTTGTTTACGCACGCTGGAGAGTAGACTGCGAGCATGAACTGTAACAGTGTCACGCTCAAGGACACCCTGCTTTCCACACAAGCACGAGCTGGTATCAAACCGTGGACGTTCACGGTTACATGACAGTGTACTCTACATGCACAGGGCCACGGTGCTGCCCCCTGCGGATTTACAGTGAGACACATTGAGGATGAAGCAAATCACAGTAGGGGTTATGAGGAAGACTTAACACGAGCCGCGATCGTTCACTCTTTCACCTCAGATTTACACCCAATGTATGCCCAGCTCCGGCGTGCACAGTGGAAACACACAGCAGGCGAGTCAGCGCACTTTTTACCGCTGAGTAGGCTGATCGGGACCCGGGCTGGCACGCTGACACACAGTCACCATCGTCTGCCTCTTTCAAACATAAAGCATATGATACACAGTTGAGTATATCTGCATGCTCTCGGTCAACAGACATTTCAGCCCGAATTCCCTCATGTTGCGACGGCATCTGCCTCAGGTGTTGTACAGTTTCATTCCGACTATCGACAATCAGCTGCAACCAAGAGAAATGAGTTAAATATTACCCCGTTTGTGTGCATTTAAATACGTGCATGCGAGTGTAATGTGTGTGCGTTCTCCAAAAACTTCCCGATGCACTGAATCTGTTGGAAACACTTCTGTGACCCACCAGCTTGTGCGTAAACTGGTCAGCCTGCCCGATCGCCAAGTTAGCAAAGCTGATGAGCAAATATTCTTTTCTCAGCTGAAGCTGACAAACAAACAGCACGTCTAGTATGCACTTCATCACCATCACGAGCAGGTTTGTACCTTTTTGCTGTCATGCACTAAATGACAATGTACTGTGCCCTCCGCACGGTGCCGATGCCAACACTGTGTGTGCACTGCCACTGGGAACCGGTAGCCTACATTTCCGTCCTTCTAACAGAATGAAATCCAAATGCAAAGTCGGGTTAAAATCAGATGAATGTTAGCAAACACGCAGCTCGTTCTTACCTTGCGGACGTAGCGCTCTACCGGGTCGATAATTTCTTCTTTACACCATTAACTCTCCGCCATCTTCGGCACTGTTTGTTTAAATGGGAAACACTCCCGAAGCCCAAGAAGCCAGTTAAGTTGAGGCGTCGCGGTGGCTTCTACCTCGTCCAACCCGGATACGGACTATAGGCAGACTCCTCCACCGCGCGCAGGGAGTGGGGGCGCAGAGGAGGTGGGGGCGCAGCCACTGTCTGTCTAGCAGCCTACAGACGGATGTCAGTAAAGATGGCAGAGTGCAGAGATAATAAGGTGTGCATTTTCTCTGAACATCAACAAGCCACAAAAAAGCAAACCCTGACTTGTTTGTTTGTAAATGCCCGGAGGCAAAAACAAAAAAGCACGTTCTAGACTTTCTGCGTAAATGAAGTGTTTTGACAGAGGCGCTGACAGAAGTAGCCTAAACTTGGGAGCAAATTATGATGCGAAGGTCTTATCCTTGTCGGGTGAGGATAAGTTGGTTCATTTGGAGACATAAAAGTCTCGTTTTTGTGCCAGTGGCGCACTATTTACTGAAATCTGGGATTAGTTCTAACACTTTAAAGGAACATGGTTTTGCACGTCTTGCCAAATTACTTTGTAAAACGTTCTTATGATTTAGAAATTTTAAATTCCGGTGTCTTTTGCCCACCAATCTGATTCCACTTCGTGAGAAGTCTGCTAGTTTTGACAGGGGTGGCCGGTGTGAGACCAGTGGGCTACTCACCATGGGGCACAGGAATTAACATCACATTCATGTTTTGTGTATGTGTGTGGTATGGCGTTGTACAGATGTCTGCCTATGGACAAAACTACTATGTGTAAGCATTATTATACTTAATGTATGTCCAAATAAGCCCCCGTGATAGTTTGTGGATGTGCAGACAGCAGTAACAATGCCCATTTTTTATTTACTATTGTAATTATTAAGGTTTTTATTATTAGCAGCTTTCACTACTTCTGTAGTTTGATGCTTCTGGTTTCTCTGTTTCCATTTTAATGTTCTGATAATAATTTCATGGGCTGTGTGTGTGTGGATGATGTCTCATGTAACAGATGTTAGCAGAACTGTTTACAGCAGAAACCCACCCTAAACCACCACCTCAAGAGGTTTTTCTGTTTTGTTTTGTTTGGTTTGGTTTCATTATCCATTTAAAAAGATTATTTCTGTTTTGCCTCATTTACATTTTTGGTAGAATTCAGGCAGGAATGAATTTGAATTTGAATGAATTTGTTCATTTATATGTTGTGAGGAGCTGCTACACCTGCTGCATCCTGATCCTTAATTCAGTTCATTTGAGTTTTACTTATATAGCACCAAATCCCCCAAAATAAAATGAAATTAAAAATCACATAAAGATGGACAATGCATCAGTCAAAATATAAACTATATCTTCCTTGGAGAAGTTATTTGCAATGATGTAGATTGATTTGATTAATTCATTGTTTTAATTCACTTAATTCATTTTTAAATTTCATGCAAATTTCTCTCAAATTAGAAAATTTGTTGTAAACTACTGTAAATGTTTTTGGGTATTTGGACTTGTGGTCAAACTAAACAAGACGTCACATTCAGCTCTCTGAAGTTGTGATGAGTATTTTTGGACGTTTTTGATGTTTCATGGACCACCAGATGATTAGTCAAAAATGATCCACAGATGAATGAAAATAATTATTTGTAGCAGCCTTAATGTATAAGCGATAACTTCTAAATGTAATGGAAATATTAAGGAAAAGGCTTATTCAAAACAGGAAAGGAAAATACAGGCCTATGGAAAAACTTAGTTGCTCCTCTTCATGAAACAGAGAAATACAGAAATATCACTTAATGTCTTGCAGCCTTTTTGCAGGAGCCAGGCTTTTGTGAACTGGGTTTGTTTCACTGGAGGCACTGTGGCTCCTTCAGGCTGTCTATCTTTTATAGATGATGCCCATATGTGGGCTCCATATGTGAGATGGCAGTCTCAGCGTGGAGCAGTGACTCTGGAGCCGGGCGGCCTATGAACTGGGACACGTTGACACAGCAACCTAACTGCTGCCAAAATATACAAGGCAGAGACAGATAGCACCAAAATCAGTCACCATGGTAATACCAGGCAGGCAAGAGAGACACAGCTAGATGGATAGAAATACATACACAACACACACACAGAGTGAGTAGGGATCCTGTCGTGTCAATGACAGTGGGAAAGAAGGAAGATGAGAAGAGGAAGGTGAGAGACAAGTGAGATAAGATGATGAGATAGTGGAGTTTGGTTTAAGGCAGTTTATGAAGACAGGGGACAAGATCACAGATAATAAGAAAGGGCGCCTATTGCCTGAAGAGAAGGTTAGCAGGGAAAACCCGCAGGTGTTCAATAAACACAAAGCAGAAAAAGGGGAGAGAAGAAGAGGGTATGGAGTTGTCACTGACAGAGTAGAAGAGGACGTATTGTACAGCAGCTCAGTTTCACTGGCAAAGTGAGAGAGGGAGGACTTAGAAGAAGGAGATAACTGAGTAAGAAGATGCTGGAATATGGTTGCAGGAAGGGTTTAAAGCAATTAGCCTCATGAGTCAGGGTTAATGCATTAGGCAAAACTAACAATGTTTAGAAGAATATATCCCAGAAAATTGTACCCAAATGTATACATGTAAGACACAAAGAAACTGGAAAAGCTAATTTTACAAAAACAACAAAACAAATGCTTTAGGTTACACTATAACTCTCTAATAAACACATTTAGAAATATTTTAAGTCTCCTTTAAAATAAATTTGAGGTCTGTTAGCAGGTGGTAGTGAACCAGTAAGTTTAACAGCTTCATGCAGGTAGAAGGTTGTGAAGAGAAATGATCGCATTGATTGTCTTAGTCGGTTTACAGCACAGTGTTGTTGGAGACCTTCGAGATGAGATAAACTTTTTACTGACCATTTATGTTGGGTACATTTTGTATTGGTAATGTTGAGGACTTAAGTTGAAATAAATTGAGGCAGAGGGTGTTTGTTGGACAGGTGTAACCAGTGGTGACGTGGCTTTAGCCACAGAATATTTTAAGCTTAGCCCCCAGTATTTTGTGGCTTATCATTAAAGAGTAAATGAAAGGGTTACTGTAACAAGACGAAGACAGAAAGGTCAAAAGTAAAGCAGAAAGAGAGACGTCATTAACTACAAATCTCTGGTAAGGCTGACTGTATCCAAAAGCACTGGACATCATGGTTGGCAATAATGTTTGTAATATAAAAGCTCAAGCAGGTAAAACCAGTGGTATGATTCTGTACCACACATCTGTTATTTTCAGGTAGGTGATAGCTAGATTAATTGTAATGGTGTTCTTAAGGACACGACCCTTGTACTTGAAAATGAGAGAAATTAGAGTTTTTAGATGTTTGCAGACAAAAAACATGTCCACATGAAATGATTTGTAGCTGGTTTGAGAAAATCTGCTTGCGTTATTTTGAGTGACTTCTGCTGCTATTGCATTTTGGAGTGAAATACTTTAATTCATTAGGGCTGTTTCTGATAAAATTAAACAGTTAAGAATTGTTTTTCTATAGCCACCTGGCCTCAGGTTGCAGTTAACCACATTATTATGGTATTTATTGTCCATCATTTGGAAAATTCCATAGTGCTACCTGAGGCTAAAAAAACAAAAACGGAAATGGCAGAACATGAAATGTCACTTCTATAGTACTAGCACCTGAGTATCTGCAGTAACTGTGTCTTCACAATTCAACTTGATCATAATCCTCAAAGATACAGTAAAGCACACTTAATGCCTAATACCAAACCATTAGATATTTAGAGAGCAAAAAGAGGATGATGATGATTATTTCTTAGCAGCATACAGTTTATTGTTGACACAGTTACTCAGTGAGAATTACGGGACTGCAGAGAGAGTTGTGGGAAGGTGAGAGGAACATGGAAGCTGTTTTAAAATTCTAAACAGGTAGGATGAGGCTTCAGGAGAGTAGTGGAACTGCTACCAGCACACACACACACACACACACACAGTAATGTGAGACACTGAGAGTGAAAAGAAACAACCCATATGAGAAAGTGCAGTTATATTGTGAAGCTGAAACAATTATTTGATTAGACGACTTGACAATTTGTTGGGTTGAAGATTAAGTGACAGTTATTTTGTGATATTGATTAATTACTCAAGAAATTATTCTAACCAAAATACCAGGTATTCTTAAATTCCGGATTTGACACATCAAAACAAATATTTAGTTTACATAGCCCAATATCACAAATTCCAAATTGTCTTTTGTCTTGTGACTTAGTAAATTATGATAGTATGTAATATCTATCCATCCATCCATTTTCTACTACTTATCCAGAGTCAGGTCACAGTGGCATCAGGTTCAGCAAGGTAAACCAAACGTCTCTCTTCCCAGCAAGGTTTCCCGGCTCCTCCTTGGTGAACCCAAGGCATTCCCACGCTAGATGAGGTATTTAATCTGTCCAGCATATTTTGGGTCTACCTCAGAGCCTCCTACCAGTTGGAAATTGGTTTGGAAATTCTTTATGAAAGGTGCTCAGGAGGCATCCTAATCAGATGCTCAAACCACCTCAGCTGGCTCTTTTTGACGTGAAGGAGCAGCGGCTCTACTTTGACTCCCGGGTGTCTAAAATCCGCAGCCTAACACAAAAGTTGAGCTCAGCCACCCTCAGTGACTCTGCACTTTAACATGATGGAGGGGTTTGTGAGTTTGTGTTTCACAATTTTCTGACATTTTATAGACAAAATGATTAACTGAGAAAGTACTTGGAAGATTTATAAATAAATAATACAATTGTTAGTTGAATTCCTTTCTGTATGTATGTATGGACCAGGTGAATACTGTGTATCTTATTTTTATGCTAACCTATAATATTTTTCTTAATAATAGTTCCCTCCATCAACAGCACCTCCAACCAATCAGAATTTAGAAGCTGAGCTTGTAAATTGTATTGTAGCCTGAAAAGGGGGTTACCTAGTTGTCTGGTGAAGAAGCAACAGCACTTCACACACACTTAGGAGAGACATTAAAAAAGAGATGGGAAAATCTGCCTACAAAATACAGGAGAGTTCAAGATGGAGCTGGGAAGCAATTAATTTGTCAGACATTTATGAATCCACCAAATGGTTCAGTCCCATGAAGCCATTACTCTCCGCCTCCATTTCTGTTTGTGAAACCTACCTCAGCATCATTCAATGCAAAATCAATACAACACGATTGCACAGATAAAACAAAAATGGGGGCAGTTGTTGAATCACTGGCTTGAAAGCCTTATGGGACAATGAAGTTGCTGTTTGGAAAAACAAAACCCACAGAGGCAGAGAAATAAGTTTGAAAGGAAGATGGAGCTTGAGATTGTGTGTTTACCGGCACAGTAGACAAGTGCACAAACCGACAGCTACCGAGAGGGTTGTGGCAAGGAAGGAACAGATGAAACTGTATAAACACACATGACTCTGTATGTACTGTCAGCTGCTCCTTTTGCTGGCTGGACCATGTGGTTGTGCAAGCACATGCATTTCAGTGTGTAAAGATGAATGTTCCAGCTGTGCAGCAAGTTGGTGCACAGCTGCATGCACACATACACACAGAAAACAATCCACACAGTCTAGAGGACATGCAAAATCATATTCATATGATTCTTCATTATTGTTGATTTTTGTGTTTCTCTGTGTTAAGACTTGAGACAAAAGGGATATGGGCTGCCTTCATAACAGGTCGTCACAAGCTCTATAAACTCACAATGAACATACACACAGTGTCTTGTTTTGGTAACAGGCAGCAAGGAATAACCACAATAGTACAAAATATCTTAAAAACTCAGTTGCTAAAGGTACAGTAAGTTAACAATTTATTCAAAGGACATATACCATTGACTTCTCTCTCATAACCATATATAAACTATTCCTTTTATACTATACAGAGGAGATTAAATTAAAGCAGATAGTGCAACACAATAAATAAGCTATTTGTATATAGTCTCATAAATATAAATATGCCTCCACTTTGGACTATATGGGTTTCTGCTTCCATGAAGATTACCACTGTCAAGATGACTTGCTTTTGGTCAACAGTCCAAATTTGTGTGCATCATCTGCTCACATGTCAACCCTTTAGTGGAGTTTTCCAGGGTGAGAGTTACCGGGCAGGTGTGGAGATATTCACAAGCCATCAGATGAGTACCACTGAGTTGGAGTTGTCCACTGGGAATGAAAGGGTCGCTTTGATGCAACTGCGAGTTGCTGAAAGGAATTAAGGCTCTGTCTATGCTTAAACACTGAGCAGCAGTTCAGAATATGTAATCTGCTTAGAGTCTCTGGGTTGAGTCCTGGAAAAGATGCACCTAGGAACTCTATATTTATGTTGAGGGGCATCACTACTCACTTTGGCAGCAACACAGAAGCCTGAAAGGGGGGTGAATGGGAGGAACAGTTTGCCTGAACTGAACCTGAGAGGTGCTTTGTTGTTGCACATCTGTGTGGTTCTGTGGATTCATCAGATCTTCACCATGGACTGGGGTGGTTTGCAGCCAAGTGTAAAGTAGCTGTATAAGGACCTCCAGGTCTAAGACCACAGAGCTCTGCTGGTAAACAGCAGGTATGAGTTGCTGACCTAAATGAAGGACTTCAAGTATCTTGGGTTCTTGAAAAGGAAGAAAGGGCCTTGTGCTCACAATCCAAAACTTCCAACAAATCCAAAAGGCCTTAAGGTGCTCTTGAAGTTAAGCCATAGAAAAAAAATAGAGCCATTACAGCAATTTTGGATTCTTGCTGACTAGTGGGGGTAAAATAGAATATGAGATTGACAGGCAGATTGCTATGGCATTAGCAATAATGTGGGTATTGTCCTAGATCATGGTGGTGAAGAGGGAGCAGAGCCAGAAGGCAAAGCTTTGATTTACATTTGATCTGTGTTCCAAACCTTACCTATGTTCATGAGCTTTAAATTGAAAGAGTGACTGAACCACTGTAAGAACAAGATTGCAATCACAAGCTGCTGAAATGAATTTCCTCTGTAGCATGGCTGGGTTCAACTTTAGATTTAAACTCAGACATAAGGTCGGGGATGGGTGTGGCTCAGGAGGTAGAGAGGGAAGGTTGGTGGTTTGATTCCCGGCTTCTCCAGTCCACAGGTCAAAGTGTCCTTGAGCAAACACGGAACTCCTAGTTGCTCCCAGTGATATCCACCAGTTTGATTGTATGAATGGGTGAATGGTCAAATAGTGTGAAAGTGCTTTGAGTGTCATAGAAAAGTGCTATACAAGTATAAGAGCATTTATCATTTGGAGGAAGTACAAGTATAAGACCATTTATCATTTGGAGGAAAGAACATCAGTGAAGAGTCACTGCTTCTGCAAGTTGAAAGGAATTAAAGCACTTGTCCTAGATTTTCTGGGCATATCCAAGAGGTAGGGGAACTCGGGGAAGAACCAGAGCATGCATGTAAGGTTTTAAGTCTCATCTGGCTAACGAATGCCACTGCATCCTCCAAGAGGAGCTTGTCCAGTGTTTCTGGAGAAAGAGATGTCTGGACTACTTAGCTTAGCCTGCTGTCAACCTGACCTGTCTCCAGGTAAGTAGCAGAGAATGGATAGATGGATGGATGGCACTAATGTACACTGATGGGGCACTGCTCTCCTTTTCACACACACATAGACATATATACTTTTCTCCTTAGTTTAACTGTAAATCGTTGCTCTGTGCTCAACATAGCTCTTGTGTGTTTCTCTTCCTCTGACTTCCTTTTGTTCCCGTGGCTCTGATCCCTATAGATGTTTCGACCCCTTCTACACTCTGTCCTTCATCGGCCTACACCTGCTCTGTTGCTCACCTCACACCTTTCCCCTCTCGTCTACTGGCTCACAAATAGCCGTGAGGTCATGAACATCTTAGATCCCCAGCGAATTTCATGAATCACTGCAAGTAAACCTGGTTGCGAGAGCAGCTGCTGCGCAATTTGCTCATTTGAGGCAATCAATGAAAATAACAATGAATGGTTACAATACTTCCAAGAGATTACACTGACACACAAATACACACACACACACCATGCTCCAGTCCTGCTAATTGCTGGCTATTAGTCTGCAAGACTGGGATTACATGTCTTATTAAATACAGAATTTCAAATGAGCTTCATTAAATAAGAAAGTACTCCCTTTTAATGAAGCTAATTTATATGGAAATTACACATAATACTGACGATTCAGTGAGAGATTTATCCTCATTGGAAGAAGGGAAGGAGCAGGATAGTGATTTTCCTCCCCTTGCCTTAGCCAGCCCCTGCTTTTGGATGTTTTCTGCAAGTTTGCTTTTGAAACACATCCTCAGAGGGTTCAGGTTATATTTCAGCAGTCAGGGTGTGTGTTTATATGTGCGTGTGTGCGCATGTGTGATGAAGAGCATGTGTGTGAACTCCTGTCCTTGTGCTGACCCTGCAGAGCTCCAGCCTGCCTCTCTGGTTCCCACTGATCCATCATGCTGTCTGAATGCCCAGAGAAAACCTATTACTCTGAACCAGCACAACACATTAGCAGTGAGCTGCAGGTGTCTCTCCTCTTCTGTGCTGTGCTCATTCCTCACCATCCATGGATGCAACGTTATGTTTACAGCACCCTAGCAGTCAAACTGCACAACAGTGAAGTCGAGGTACGTCACCTACCTAGAATACCCTCGTAATGGGATAAATACATATTCCAACCCATCAGGTGATGCAGTTTGTTGGTTGATTGCATAGCAAAGACTGCTTTAAGAGTTTTTGCTGCACCCTATGTGATAAGACTGTTTCTGTCTTTCTCACTTTTGACTAGTGATTTATTAATGCAGGTCTGTATGCAGTTATGCCCCTGCAGACTGCTTCGGTCCCTGAGGCAAAAAGCTCAGCGTTGTCCTCTGGTGGTAATTAGAAGAAGTACAGTTTGGCCAATATCTCCTCACATATCTGGACACCATCCGTGGTGAGTATACAGTCAATGAAAAATGTTTAAATCAAAGAAGGTCTCATATCTCTAAGTGAAACAGGTGGAGAGATTTAACAAGTAGGAGATGAGACAAGGAAGTTTCAAAAATTAATATTTTGAGAGTATTTGCTTTAAGAATTGCATTTTCCTTACTGGATAATTATTTACAGTACTCATACTACTATTCACTTTTTTATGAAGCTTGAATGGAGACAGGTCTACAAGTCAACCTGCAGGCAATATGCAAAAAACCGTTCGACAGGTGTGTAATGAACAAAGGCTTTATTCAAACATGAAATTAAAAAAGTGACAAAGAAAGTGATCAGAACTCAAACATTTGCATAAAATATACCATCAGAGCAGCTCAGAAACAACATATTTGAAAAAAGGAAATATATCGCAACATCTATAAACAAGCAGCAAAATAAAAGAAAATCAGTGGACAACAAATGAACTATTAACACAATAAATGCATGTTTCTGCTGTGCATGTCATTCTTTAAGTGATTTCACACTCGTGCATTGATGATTGTTACCACCTAGAGGTTACTTATAGTGTTCATTTACTGCAGACCTTTTTAGTTTGCAACAATTACAAAATGGACACAGTTATAACTGTGCAACTCAAAATTTTAGTTAACAATGCAGAAACAGTCCAAAGTAGGGAGTGTTATGGTGCTCTGACATAATGAATATAATGCAAAAAAACAAAACAACAAGTGTATTCCAGTGAGATTATTCAGGCTATTGTGTCTCAAAGATAGGGGGTCATGTTTTAGAGCCTAAACATCTGTTGGTTGTTATACAGCGTGGCATATGATGAGCAAAAAAACAAAACAAAAAAAAACTCATGTAGTTTGTTAAATCTATATCCGGCCCTGTAATCCAACTGGGAAACACCTGCAGGACCAGAAGAAATAAAACACTGACCACTTGGCCCTCTGGTCATATATTAAAACTGATGTGTGGATGACTAGTGTCATTATGAAGGTGCTTTTCACTATCATGAAACATTGTTGTGAAAGCTACAGCGTACACCTGCCGCATAGTGTTAACTGATCACTGTTTTACAACTGAGTTCACTTTGCTCTAATAAGGCCATGAAGTTAAATAAACCATCAGGCTAAGTACATTTTTATACTCATACCACTATGTATACCCACACTAACAGTTCAGCAAGCTTCAATCTTATATTAAAAAAACAATTCATATCAATATGGGTGCAAAACATATTCACATGTACTGAACAACAGTGGAGTTTCCCTTCTATAAAAATAGCTTAAAAATCTGACATATTTTAGTACAGTGTAGGGTTAAGTCAGTTTTCCTCTCTTTTACATCTGAGACAGTTTAATAACAGGCTGGGACATACATCAGTCCTCTGCTCTCCTTCCCTCCTATGACACTGCCATACACAGACACGAGGCTGTAAAGAACCTCAAATTCCCAATAAGGAGCGCTAAAAGGAGGAAAAATGAATGGCATGCTCATCTCCTTCCTGTTCTAGACAAAGACTCCAAACACCAAACTGTCTTCAGATACAATCTTTTCGGAGCTTCACATGCACAGTGGTTCAACAGAGGAGCCTTGATCTGTGGCAGGAAAGAGTATGGCCAACAGTACATAGGCTCTGTACCGGAAACAAATTCCTTGTGTGTAACATACTTGGCCAATAAAGGTGATTATCCTTATCCTTACAGTCTGTGTGCTCCACAGCAATGTCAGGATCATTGAAAAGGTGAAGCAGGAAGGACAAAACGTGCCACATTTGGCAAACTGAAATCACAAAATCTCTCTCACATAACATAGGGCATATGAGGGGGAGAGACATAGAACAAGCATTTAGTAACCAATAACCTCAACAACAGTGAACTAAAGGACAGATGTAAAATACAACCAACAGGGCAGGAGGCAACAGATTGTCACATTTCATGCTCTTTACACAGGCGATACTTTTTTACAAGACATCATCATCATCATCATCATTCAGGCCCAGTTAATTCACAAACATACATGATAGGCTAAACAATACTAAAAACCACATCTCCTCAGATACAACTCCCACTACACCATGGGATGAAACTTGTAGAGTAAGCGGTGAACAGCTTGTCCCCTGATACCCTAGAATACAAAAGCAAACAGAGAAGGCAAACAGAACACAACACAACACAAGCAGAACGAGTGATACAAACCACTAACGTCATAAGGACACTTGAAGAAAGATTGTATTGTTTGGGTTAACTAAATGCAGTTGCTATGTACCACTGTGTTTGCTGGTTATAGCTTCTCAAAGCATGTAAAATAATAACTTTCTGTAGTATATGACAAAAAAAAAAAAAAACTCCACCTCTTGCAGCAGTTGTAAAAAGGCCACTGAATGCTTGTGTGTTTGTGTTTGTGTATGTGTATGTGTGTCTCTGATTGTGTGTGAGAAAAATGCAAACTCAACAGCACAGGCAGGCGCTAACCGTTAGCCCAGTCTTTAGCCTTATACCTAGTCTTTAACCTTAAACCAAAATGCAGTGACATTACCATATAAAAGACTGAAGTGCAGCTTCAAACAATTTTCTTGCTCAAGATTAAAATCATGCCAAGATTTAACTGTGCGCATACAGTACAGCATCACAGGTTACAGTACAGCTTCCTCTTGGTGCGTCTAGCCTGGATGAGCCCCTGTAACAGGCTGCTCGGCAGGCTAGTGATAAAAGCAAACAAATATATAAAAAGTGCCTCAATCCTGTAGCATGATGGATTTCAAAGGCAGAGGCTGTCAAATAATGGCAGTAAATGACCAAGCAGTTAGGGTACATGCTTCAGTTTTCTGGCTCCAGCTATGTGAAATAGCACAGATATTATAACAGACCAGGCTGCTCAAAGACGTCTTTCCCCTAATCAACACATCCATACTAGATCTGATTAACCTCTCTCTATTAACAGGTTATGTTCCACAGGCTTTTAAACTTGCAGTAATTAAACCTCTACTCAAAAAGCCTACTCTTGACCCAGGTGTCCTAGCTAATTATAGATCAATATCCAATCTCCCATTTATTTCCAAAATCCTTGAAAAAGCTGTTGCAAAGCAGTTATGTGACCACTTGCACAAGAATGATTTGTTTGAGGATGTTCAGTCAGGATTTAGAGTCCATCATAGTACAGAAACCGCATTGGTGAAAGTCACCAATGATCTGCTCCTAGCCTCGGACAAAGGACTTGTCTCCATACTTGTCCTCTTAGATCTCAGTGCTGCTTTTGACACCACTGATCACAGCATCTTACTGCAGAGACTTGAACATGTTACTGGGATTAAAGGAACTGCGCTAAGTTGGTTCAAATCTTATTTATCAGAAAGATTTCAATTTGTTCATGTTAATGACAAATGTTCCACACAAACTGAAGTTAGTCACGGCCTTCCACAGGGCTCTGTGTTAGGTCCAATTCTCTTCACTTTATACATGCTCCCTTTAGGCAATATTATCAGGAAGCACAACATAAATTTCCATTGCTATGCAAATGATTCTCAGTTATATTTATCTATGAAGCCAAATGAATCAGGTCAGCTGGTCAAACTTCAAGCATGTCTTAAAGACATAAAGACCTGGATGACCTGTAACTTCTTACTTCTAAA